CTCTCTCTCTCTCTCTCTCTCTCTCTCTCTCTCTCTCTCTCTCTCTCTCTCTCTCTCTCTCTCTCTCTCTCTCTCTCTCTCTCTCTCTCGTTAATCAGGTACATGCATTTGTGAAGAACCAGGGGATAAAGAAGCCTGCAAATGGATGGGGAGCAGTCCATATTGTTGATATGCATGTCCCTCAAGACAATCTTCCTGGTGTTTACAAGGCGGCCGACGTCTTTGTGTTGCCCTCACGAGGGGAAGGGTGGGGGCGTCCACATGTTGAGGCGATGGCCATGTCTCTACCAGTGATTGCAACAAACTGGTCTGGTATGACCGAGTACTTGACGGATAGTAACAGCTATCCACTGCCAATCGATGGCCTTGTGACGGTGGAAGAAGGCCCTTTCAAGGGTCATCTATGGGCAGAGCCATCCATCGATGCGCTGAGACGATTGATGCGCCATGTGTATGAGAACCCGGAAGAGGCAAGGAAGAAGGGAGCCATAGCCAGAGAAGATGTGGTGAGGAAGTACTCTCTGGCGGTCGTCGGTGCACAAGTGGTGCGGGAGCTGTGGAGAATCCATGAGGTGACGGAAGTCGGAGGGCATTCCGACTTCAAAGCTACGAAGTAGATTTCGACATCTGTGCATAAGGGTAACGAGGGCAAGCTCCGGGGATACAGATAGACAGGTAAGCGCAGCCAGCCCCCTGAATGCAGCTCGATGGGCAAGCACAGAGAGCGACCATCTGATCCGTCACAGAGATATGCTGGGACTTGAAAAGACTATCCACAACAAACAGGCTCGACATTCTCTCTGTGAAGTGCCTGAAGGCATGCTCACACTAGGACTTTCACATATGTATCTGACTGTGATCACGGCCGACTCTGGATGTATCTGACCACAACTATGTCCAGAGATGAGTTGAAGAAGTCCTAGCCAGTGTGCCCTAAGCGGAAGGACCTCCTGTGATTCTGCTCTACGTCTACGTTCTTTCTTTTTCTTTTCTTTTTCTTTTCTTTTCTTTTCTTTTCTTTTCTTTTCTTTTCTTGTTGGAAGGTCGATGACCTTGAGATATCTTGATTGCACTGATGAGCCGCAGGTAATGCAGAATGATCTTATTCTGTTCGTCGGGTTGCATCTGGATTCGAACTCAGGTCTGTATTTCAACAGGTCACCAACTGAGCTAGGCCAGTTGGTCTACGTCTAGGTTCTAAAATCCAATGCATGTTGTTTCTTCTTGAAACACCTGGACAGCATCCAGTCAGTCCTGTCACCTGTGTGCAGTGAGAATTACTTTGTGTGGAACGGTCAGTTTCCCGGCTTCCCCACCGAGCACAACGCACCCTGCTCATGCATGTAGACAAGCTATTTTTGCGCTTCTGATGCAATTGTGGTGACAGTGCGCTGTACTCGCGGGAAGATGGTAGTGTCAGAGGAAATATGACTGCAGCATGCGTATATATATACACGAGAGGACCATGTGGCTATTAGTTCTGGGCCCTAGACCCAAAGAAGTGGGCGTCCGGTCTCCTTCCTGTATTCAAGGAGTAAATCAACCAAGAGTCGCATTGCCGAAGTGCGCATGGAAAAGCACTTGGTCAAACCGAGCAACAGGAGGCTCGGAACTTCGAGGCCGGCTCGCGAGATAAAAGTTTGGAACGAACGAGGGTAACGAACTCGGTTATGCGGACACAGCAGAATGGTTCTGGCGGTGGAGCTGAAGGACATGATTCTCTAAGTCGGTGAGTGATGGCTCGGACACAGCAGAATGGTTCTGGCGGTGCATATAACATCAGAGGGACACTGCCTCGCCTTTTTTTTTTTTTTTTTTNGGGGGGTTACTGGCTCTTATATTTTTCAGGTTTCTGTAGTATCTGTGTGCTCCTCCAGTTGTTCGGCAGAACATAAATTTTACGTCATTGCTCAACGATGTGAAAAGCATGCTGCGCACTCGACTGTGAAACCAGGATTTTGAAAACTTGAAGTCCAAAGGCAAAGTGAGTGGCTTGCCGCTCAATTTCGGACCTCAACACCCAGCTGCTCATAGTGGGGAATCTTGGACACCACCTACACCTCGCGTTCACAAACTCTCCCCGAGTGACTATCTCGCACGGTTCGGAGAGGACCATGGGAATTTCTTCTGCCCGAAATCGTCCCTGTCTAGTACTTCGTTTTCATTGGCAGGAATACCTCCATTAGCAGGATTTTGCTTTAGCATTCGGGTGTGGGTCGCCAGAGATGGGAAATTTGGAGATCTCTTCCGGCGATCTTGAATACTTGAGCTGACCCAAAAAGAAACTTCATACCCAAAACGTCAAAATGATTCCTGCTCTTTTCCAACGTGCTGCGGTCCGCAGCCCCGATACATCTTCGGCGCAATGAAGCCGATTGAGGCGAAGTGGTGCAGTCTGCAACATCCCAAAACAGATGCGCTACCAGACCGCGCAAATTATCGGAAAAGAGATTGCCTGTGAGAAATTCCTAGCGCTGCGCGGCTTGTGAGATTTTTCGGTTCATATTTCAATTTTGGACATATTGCTCTTCGTTTCTAGTGTATAAACTCGAATTTGTCACTATTGGCATGTTCAGTTGGGCGGCCATTGTATTTGACCTGTGGCCAACCAGGAAAGAGAAGATAGCCCATTTGGCACGCGTCCCCGGGTTTTGGGTGCGAAGCACTGCAATAAGGTCAAAGCAACGCTAAAAGCCTTTTTTTTTCCCCAGCTATCTCTGAGTTTGATTGGCCTCTCTGATTCGTGGCGGAGAGCCGTATGATGGGAAACTATCATGTGCTGTTCGGAGCATAAGATGATTTCAGGGATCGAGGTCGGGATGCAGAAAATGTGGTTAAACATCTTTGCATGTGGAGTAGTTTGGAGTAGTAAGTATATTTTAAAGAGAAAATATTAATGCAAAAATAACCGCAGTTAAAAACAAAATTCGCCCATGATCTCGGCTTCCAGCCGTGCCACCCGGATCCCCAAAAGCTGGCACGGGACCTGCCCGGGATGCCCGGCCAGGCAACTGGACTGGGTGGGGTCCCGGCCCATTTCCCACCAAATATATATATATTTACCGGGCAGTTCTGTTTGTTACGATATATATATATATTAAAAGGTATGTGGTTCAGAATAGCAAACCAAACAACTTTTAGCTGAGGGTCACTTCCAAATTCTTCATAGAATTTGAATAAAAATAAAATCATGCAAGGAAAATCATAGCACACCCCCTCTAAGCACTGGCCCGGCTGCTCGGCCGGGCGTCCGGGGCCCATGTGGGTCTGGTAGCCCAGCCCATGATTGATTTTCACAATGAAAATGATTTTTTTTTTTTTTTTAATTTTTTAATGAAAATGATTTGAACAATTCTCATCATATTTTTACCATAAATTCTTTGAAGTATATTCACAAAAAAACCAATTGGCCTATATCTAATACAGGACATATTTGGATCTTGTCAGGTCAAGTCTATCAGTTTCATAATATGCAAAGTATCTTTTGTAAACAGCAAGCTAAAGTAAGAATAATAAAAGATATTATTGCAAGAAAACAATTATTAGTATACAATGGAGGAAGATATCATAACTTTTGTTCCAAAAGATCTTCATTTTTTCAAGAAAGTTTGATGAATTTTTTGTTTTCTTTTAACTTTTGCTATTTTCTTCTCTCATCTATCTCATCTTCTTGGTAGTATGCATCTATCTCTTCCTCTCGCTAGTCTATGTATAGTACGGGGGAACATCAACCAACCCTGATCTCTCCCTAGCCCACGGGTTAGGTTAGCACCACAGCAGTGGTGCAAGAGCAAGGCTGTACCAGTCCCTCGCCCTACAACAATGAGTTTACCAGTACCAGTCAAACCAATCTTTTTTTTTTTTTTTTTTTTTTTTTTGAAAAGGCCCAGTGCCCAAGGCTGATATTACCAATAAGAGGAATGAGGCCGGGGTCCTGACAGGCTGCCCGGAGAAACCGAACCGAACTTGCTGAGAACCAGGCTCAGCGGCGTCCCTCATGTGGTGACTATGATGATGATGATCCTGATGATGATGATGTCTTAGTTACTCAGGTAGTTGAATTATCAATTGAACAGAGATTCATATGGTTCACCGGTTCCACCGTCCAGAGCGGATGAGTTGGAGAATCCCTTTATCATTTCGTCCCACATATATCGTATCGATGGCATATGTATCAATCGCACTGCGATGGCTGAAGTGCAGCAATTCGGACATCTCGGCCGAATTGCTGGGCACTTTGTAAGGCGTATTTCGTCGATATCGGACACCGGGCGAAGGCAGGCACGAAGAGCAGCAAGACATGCTGGAACTTATCCCAAGAGGCTGGACTCTTGCAAGCCGATGAGATTTTTGAGGGCCGTCTGGATAGGTGGGAGGTGGTCATACTGGACTGTCGGTCGGTCGCTCTATCAAAAGACAACGACAGAGCGCGCTGGGAGTCTGGATTTCGAAACCACAGTCCGGGGATGCACGTTGCGCATACTTTGTCTTGAGAAATTTGCCAAATTAAAGCAGCATTCTTCGTTCTTCGCAAAGCAACGTTGGTGCGCGGCTCGCCAGCAGAGCAGAGTGGGCAGCAACACATGGAACAGCTCGGGTGAGACTAAAATTAAAATACAACAAAATACTAGGCTACCAGAGCGGCCCAGGGTCTGTCTCTTATACACATCTAGATGTGTATAAGAGACAGATATCGGACACCGGGCGAAGGCAGGCACGAAGAGCAGCAAGACATGCTGGAACTTATCCCAAGAGGCTGGACTCTTGCAAGCCGATGAGATTTTTGAGGGCCGTCTGGATAGGTGGGAGGTGGTCATACTGGACTGTCGGTCGGTCGCTCTATCAAAAGACAACGACAGAGCGCGCTGGGAGTCTGGATTTCGAAACCACAGTCCGGGGATGCACGTTGCGCATACTTTGTCTTGAGAAATTTGCCAAATTAAAGCAGCATTCTTCGTTCTTCGCAAAGCAACGTTGGTGCGCGGCTCGCCAGCAGAGCAGAGTGGGCAGCAACACATGGAACAGCTCGGGTGAGACTAAAATTAAAATACAACAAAATACTAGGCTACCAGAGCGGCCCAGGGTCTGTCTCTTATACACATCTAGATGTGTATAAGAGACAGATATCGGACACCGGGCGAAGGCAGGCACGAAGAGCAGCAAGACATGCTGGAACTTATCCCAAGAGGCTGGACTCTTGCAAGCCGATGAGATTTTTGAGGGCCGTCTGGATAGGTGGGAGGTGGTCATACTGGACTGTCGGTCGGTCGCTCTATCAAAAGACAACGACAGAGCGCGCTGGGAGTCTGGATTTCGAAACCACAGTCCGGGGATGCACGTTGCGCATACTTTGTCTTGAGAAATTTGCCAAATTAAAGCAGCATTCTTCGTTCTTCGCAAAGCAACGTTGGTGCGCGGCTCGCCAGCAGAGCAGAGTGGGCAGCAACACATGGAACAGCTCGGGTGAGACTAAAATTAAAATACAACAAAATACTAGGCTACCAGAGCGGCCCAGGGTCTGTCTCTTATACACATCTAGATGTGTATAAGAGACAGATATCGGACACCGGGCGAAGGCAGGCACGAAGAGCAGCAAGACATGCTGGAACTTATCCCAAGAGGCTGGACTCTTGCAAGCCGATGAGATTTTTGAGGGCCGTCTGGATAGGTGGGAGGTGGTCATACTGGACTGTCGGTCGGTCGCTCTATCAAAAGACAACGACAGAGCGCGCTGGGAGTCTGGATTTCGAAACCACAGTCCGGGGATGCACGTTGCGCATACTTTGTCTTGAGAAATTTGCCAAATTAAAGCAGCATTCTTCGTTCTTCGCAAAGCAACGTTGGTGCGCGGCTCGCCAGCAGAGCAGAGTGGGCAGCAACACATGGAACAGCTCGGGTGAGACTAAAATTAAAATACAACAAAATACTAGGCTACCAGAGCGGCCCAGGGTCTGTCTCTTATACACATCTAGATGTGTATAAGAGACAGATATCGGACACCGGGCGAAGGCAGGCACGAAGAGCAGCAAGACATGCTGGAACTTATCCCAAGAGGCTGGACTCTTGCAAGCCGATGAGATTTTTGA